AGATCATTCTAGCCAGGGCTTTGTAAAGCTGGGTCTTAAAACCTCTGAAGATAGAGATTCTACCACCTCACTAGGTAACTTATTCCAGTGTTTCACCACCCTCCTAGTGAGGAAGTTTTTTCCTAATATCCAACCTAAACCTCCCTTGCTGCAATTGGGGACCATTGCTCCTTATTCTGTCATCTATCACCACTGAGAAGACTAGCTCCACCCTCCTGGAAACAACCATTCAGGTAGTTAAAGGCTGCTATCAAATCCCTTCTCAGTCTTCTCTTCTCCAAACTAAATACACCCAGTTCTCTCATCCTCTCCTCAGAAGTCATGTGTCCCAGCCCCCAAACCATTTTTGCTGATGTCTGCTGAACTTTCTCCAAGTTGCCCACATCGTTTCTATAGTGGGGGGCCCAAAACTTGTTACAGTACTACAGATATAGTCTCAGCAATTGAAAATACAGCAGAATAATTACATCCCTCAATCTGCTAGCAACACCCCTACTAATCCAGCCCAGTATGCTGTTAGTCTTCTTGGCAACAAGAGGACACTGCTGACTCATATCCAGCTTCCTCCAGATCCTTTTCTGAAGAGCTGCTGCTTAGCCAGTCAGTCCTCAGGCCGTAGCGGTGCATGGGATTGTTCCATTCTAAGTGCAGGACTTTGCCCTTGTCCTTGTTGAACCTCATGAGATTTCTTTTGGCCCAATCTTCCAATTTGTCTAGGTCACTCTGAATCCTAGTCCTATCTTCCAGTGTATCTACTATACCCCCCAGCTTGATGTCATCCTCAAACATGCTGAGGGTGCAATCCATTCCATCTTCCAGGTTGTTAATGAATACATTGAACAAAACCGGCCCCAGTTCTGACCCCTGGGGCACTTCACTTGATACCAGCTAGATATTGAACCACTGATTACTACCCATTGAGCCTGACAATCCAGCCAGCTTTCTATCCGCCTTACAATCTATTCATCCAATTCATACTTCCTCAGCTTACTTGGGAGATGGTACAAGAATGCTGTGTGGAAAAATGCTGTGGGAGTCATTAGGTGCTCATTAATTCCAATGGGGAGCTGTTTTATTAGTTCTTTCTTAATGGAAAAACCAACTCCATAAAGTTGGTATTCTCCCTCTTGTTTACCCTTCCAGAAGAAGGTATCACTGCCTCCATGTTCTTTGAGTTGCCCATTTTCCACTCTCCCATTCTCTTGCTCAAGTGTAGCTAAACCAAAGTTGTGTCACTTGAGTTCTTGGGCCATGACTGCAGTGTGGCACTCTGGGCATTCCCTATTAGGGTTGTCCATGAGGGTCCTGATGTTCCAGGTACCAAACATGACGGTATGTCTTTGCTAGTATTTTTGACTGCAGTAAAGGTGATCCCACTGAATGCAGTTATCCATTCAGGAAGAAATACAGAATACTGTATTAGACAGGGTATGTACAGGGTACTTTTTCTAGCCCCCTCCTCATGTGCAGTGAGCAGAGCGGATCCTGAGGAGGGCTGCTCAGTCACAGTTACAGCTGTCAAATCACACTCCTGTCTTGTCACAATCCTGCTCCCATCACCATTAGCTGGTCACAAAAGGGCTTGAGGATTTTGCTGAAAAAGCTAAAGTTGTTTTCATGGAAGATGCCTGTGTGTGGCTTCTTTTATTGTAGAGAAGCTGCTGCACATCAGCTTCCACATGGCTCTTGACAGAATGGGACCTTGATCCAATGCCAAGGAGACCAAGAAAACTGGGGATCTCATTCCACTTCAACTTTCATTCACCTTCGTAGCTGTTGAGATTCTAACATCTTCTTCCACTTGCTCTACCACTAAGGACTTGTAGACCAAGGGTGGGCAAAATACAGCCCATGGGTCAGATCTGGCCCGTGAAGCCATTCTATCAGGCCCACTGGGCCCCTAAAAAAAAAAAATGTAAAAAATTAATATTTCTCTGCCCTTGGTTCCTGTCAAAAATGACAGGAACCATGGGCAGTAGGACCCAGGGGAAGTCCGGTGGGCTCCAACAACAGTGAGGTCCGCCCGGCCCCACCGGAAGCCCCAGCTGGGGTTTCTGGGGTGGAAGCATGAGACTGCCCCAGTGCAGAAGCTCAGGTAAGTGCGGGGGGACCCCAGGCAGGGAAGGATGCGCAGGGGGGGAAGTGGACCCTCCCACCCACACCAGTGCCCCGCGCTGCAGCTGCTCACAGCCTGCATGGGGATGCCTGTGCCCGCTCTGGACAGCCCCATGCAGGCTGTGAGCGCTGGCAACTTGGGACACTGAGCGTGGGGGGAGGGGCCGCTTCCCCCCCACGCTCAGCTTTTCCCTGGGCTCCTTCCCTGCATGGAGAAAAGCAGCCCTTCACCCGCCCCATGGCCGGTGCTCCACGCTACAGGTGCTCACATCCCACGTGGGGCTGTCCGAAGCAGGCACAGGCAGCCCCAGGAAGGCTGCAAGTAGCTGCAGCATGGGGCACCATCCATGGGGCAGGGGACGGGCTGCCTTCTCCCCCCACGCTCAGCATCAGCTTGTAACCCAGCTCCTGTGCAAGACTGGCAGTGGGGTGGGTTACAAGCTGGTGCTGAGCAAGGGGAAAAGTGGCCCTTCGCCCACCCCATGGCTGGCGCCCCACACTGCAGCCACCTGCAATCTGCATAAGGCTGCCTGTGCCTGCTCCGGACAACCCTGTGTGGGCTGGCAGCGGCTGCAGCACAGAGCACTGGCCATGGGACAGGCAAGGGGCCACTTTTCCCTATGCTCAACACCAGCTGCTTCCCTGCCAGCAAGCAGGGGGTTGGGGCTGTGCGCTGCCCCTCACTTGTGCCGTGGGGCTGGGGGGCACTGGGTGAGAGCCGGCAGGGAGTCAGCGGGAGCACAGGGCCCACACTGGTGGCAGGAGCGCGGGGTCCCAGCTGGCAGGGGCTCTATGGAGCCAGGCCAGCTCCCCACTCCCTGCTGGTGCAGCCCAGCCCAGCTCAGCTCTACAGACCCCTGCCGGCCTTTGCCCTGCTCTGGCTCCCACCGGTGCTGCCCCTGGGACATTGGTCCCAAGACATTCCTGCGTTGGTCCCAAGATGGTGACCGGGTGTGGGGCACCTGTCAAGGGGTGGGGCACCTGTCAAGGGGTGGGACTACCCACGTGGCCCTCCACAGCCTGCCAAAACTGGGTAAGCGGCCCTCCGCCCAAAATAATTGTCGGCCCCTGTTGTAGACCCATGGGTGGGAACTGGGCAGGCTTATTATAGTGGTGACCTGTACTTGCTATGTAACAGCACCGTCAAAGGATACATGTGGTTTTTCGGGAGGCGCACATACACACACACACACACACACACACACACACTCGTGTGTGTGTGTGTGCACGCGTGTGTGTATATATCTATATTTACAGAGATATAGATGTCTGTCTGTATGAGACAGAGTGGGAGTGAGAGCAAGCAAAAGAGAGAGAGTGGCATTTTGTTTTAATCATGGAGAAACAGTGATTAAAACACAGCTATCTAGCTATAGATATAGCTAGCTATATCTATCTATAGATCTAGAGAAGAGATGCATGATTACAGGACAAAAAGGACAGGCCTTATGAGGACAGGCTGAGAGCCATGGGACTCTTCAGCCTGGAGAAGCAAAGGCTCAGGGGGGGATTTAGTGGCAGCCTATAAGTAGATATAGGGTGTGCAACAGGAACTGGGAGAACGTCTGTTCACCAGGGCACCCCAAGGGAAGACTAGGTCTAATGGTCACAAACTGCTGGAAGACGGTTTTTAGACTGGACATAAGAAAAAAACTTCTTTACCACCTGAGTCCCCAGAGTCTGGAATAGACTCCCCCCCAGAAGCGGTGCAAGCATCCACTCTGGATACTTTTAAGAAACATGTGGATGCCTATCTGGCTGGGATCATTTGACCCCAGCAGACTTTCTGCCCCTTGGGCAGGGGGCTAGACCTGATGATCTTGCAAGGTTCCGTCCAGCCCTAATGTCTATGAAACCTATCTATCTAGAGAGAGGGGTGTTTCATCTTAATTACAGAAAAATGTGGATTTGGGGTTTTTTTAAGTCAGAAAATTTTGGATTTTTTTTTAATCAGTGAAAACCAGGATCCCTGCTGATCAAGGAAGCAGTTACACTCATGCTTGCTTACTGGGAGTTAGTTTGGCTTGTTATGGAGGCAGTGATCCTCTGAATCAGGCTGCACAACTGGGAGCTTATATTTTTCCTGAGTGGTTTTGGGGAGCTAAGAGAAGGGCGGTGACCTTATGAAAAATGCTTTTTTCAGGAAAGTTTCAAAATATTTGTTTACTGCTGTTGTAATTAAAAAATATGGAGACTTTGAACTGCAGTTTTCTTCTTTTAAATGTGTATTTTACAAACTAATGCATAAAATGCACAATCTGTTTATAAATTTCCATGCTGTGAATCCATAACAAATAATAGAACCATATTTCAACCTATGTAGAGGCAGATTTAAAGGAATTAAAATTATGAAGTAGGAGAGTAGATTTCTGAATTGACTCTCTCTCTAGTTGTACTCTCAAAATAAATCAAACAAAAATAAACATGATGATACTGTCCCAGAGTATGAGACAGATTAGGAAGTAAGGATACTTAAAATTCTTTCTTTTAATCTCAAAGAAGCTCTGGAGGTGGGCTGAAACAAAGAACATGATGGGAAGTGAAAGCCAAAATGGACTGAGAAATTTAAAAAAATATGAAGGAATTGATCAGACAACCTTCATCTTAATTTGGCCAAAATATACACAAATTTAATAAATCAGTATGAGATTTGCACAAGGCTGATAATTACAAGCAAGGCTCACCTTAACAATACTGTTGTGATTCTGAACCCCACAGTTTAAGAGAAAATGTACGTACATTTGCAGATAAAATCCTAATTATCTAGAAGACAAAATGTAACCCCCAAACATAATGGGAACTAAAGAAGGAGAAGCAACCAAAAATTAGAACTATCCTAGAATCATTCAAACTGGTAGCAATTGTTATATAAAAAAACTGCTTACCTCTAATGTGAATGAGAGAACCACATCAGATTTTGACAGCTGAATCTCATTTTCATCACCTATGTCCAAGAAAGCTGAATTCTGTGATCGCTTCAACTTCTGCAATTTAAATTCTGGGCCACCTTTAGACACTGGAAGACTTTCCAAATTTGCCATTAACAAATTCACTGAAGATCGGAACTCTTCTATATACATGCTCTCCATTTCTTTCGCTACAAACTTTGGAAATTTTCTTTCCTTGAAAATATTGTTGAAAATTTAGAATATCATTAATTATGTCACACTATATAAATTTATTAATTAAATCAGACAAATGCTTTCAGTCAAAATAATAAAACAAAATATAAATTTGAAAGCTAAGGCTTATCTGGTATTAGGTCTTTAAAATACTTGACTTTTGAAAGTCTCTAACTATACTTCTGCCATTAGCTGGAAAGAAGCAATTCAAATCAAGATTTCCATCAAAATCTTCAAATACACAAACCAACTGGCACCCTCTAGTCTAGAGAACTTACAGAGATAAAGAAATTAAGGAGCATCTATCAAAATAGCCAAAATAATTCCTTCCTCCTGCATTCTAGATGTAAGTACATGCATGCATATTAGGCAGGCACGGTTCTTGGAGTAGGTGTGATGTCTTTTATTAGACCAAATGAGTAGTTGGAAAAGAGTTCTTCGCAAGCTTTGGGGTACAGTCACCCTTCTTCAGGCATAGAGAGTCTCTACTGGTCTCAGACTCTGAGGAATGAGAGAAGCTAAAAGTGGGGCAGGATGCCCATGAGAATGTAAATAAGTAGCAATTAGACAAAAAGGTAAAGCAGGGAAGGGAGCAGAAAAAAAAGGTCAAAGGGAAACATTACAGTGATACAATACAGGGTAGAAAAGAGGCTGTCTGTGAAAAAGGAAATAGCTGGAGATCAGGAAAACAGGAATAAGAGAAGTTAAAAGCGTGACAGGATGTCAGTGAAAATGTAAATAGGTAGAAATGAGAAAAATACAAGGTAAAGCAGGGAAGGGAGGGGGTACAAAGCAGGGACAAAAAAGGCCAAAGGGAAATGCTACAGTGGTAATAATACAAGGTAAAAAGAGGCTATCAATGAAAAAGGAAATAGTTGGAAATCAAGAAGACAAAGGGCAGAAAAGTAGGGGAAGGGAGGGGAGAAAAGGCTTGGTGGGTAGGAAGAAGAATGTAAGAGGTCAGGTCAGGCAGGTATCATGCAAATCAGATGTTGAGTCCATCATTTTTTTTACCTTGTATTGTTACCACTGTAGTGTTTCCTGTTGGCCTTTCCTCTCCCCTGATTTCTTCACCCTCCCTTCCCTGTTTTACCTTTTATTTTTCTAATTTCTACCTGTTTACACTCTCACTGACATCCTCCCACACTTTTAGTTTCTCTTATTCCTTGGAGTCTCAGACCAGCAGAGACTCCCAATGTCTGAAGAAGGGTAAGTGCACCTGAAAGTTTCCCCAGAACTTTTTTCCAACTACTCAGTTGGTTTAATAAAAAAGATCACATCTACCCAAGGAACCTTGCCTGCCTATGTCCTTAGACCAACACGGCTACAACCAACAACCCAGCTGCATGCATATTACACATTTTCTCTGCCTTGTTTGCATGCTTATTAATTGTCAATATTAAATAAAAATCTAACTAAGTCTCTCACATCTTTGCAATATGAAGCTTCAATAAAAGTCCAGTATCAAATATTTTTTCTATTATTTTTATAAAAGGTAAAAAAAAACCCTATTTCTTTAGAAGACAACATTGATCTTATAGGAGGAGATTTATTTTAAAACCAAAGTTATAAAGTAGCTCATTTTTACTCACTAATAGAGTTCGTTTTTACTCGCTAGACTTCAGAAAGATCACTGATAGCCTTCTTCTTCCAAAACATCTACCTTATTTTTTTGGTTGTTATTGTGTTTCCCTACAGTCAACTGGGACTGTAAAACCACTATATAAGCTATGTGATCTATGGACAAGGAAATAAAACTAACTACTAATTCACCACAGGCTATGAGAAGTAGACATGCTGAAAATGCTTTCATTAAAATCTTTATGGTTGCTCTTTATAACATATAAGAAATATTAAATGTACCACCAATACTTACCTATCAGATAGTAAGGGATAGAGCTTAAGTGATATTCTCAGTGAAATATGAGATACCTTGATACCTGGTACAATGACCATGCTTATGCTGAGGGAATACATAAGGTAACATTTTGAAGATTTAATGATGATCCATGGTTTCAGGACAAGCAACCAAAAACTTTTAAACAAATCTAAAAGTCAAATTTGGCATAGGCTTTGAAACCAGTGCATTCAATTTTGTTTTAATTTTTCTTTGTGAGGTGAAACTCATGGTGATTTTTATCCCAAAAGCTTTACAATGTTACACTATTCTGTGAGAGTTGTTGAATGAATATTTTGACTGTGTGTGGAAAGTTTCAGTTTCCAGTCAGTACTTGTATTAAAAGCTCTTTCCTCTTACTTACTGTCCCCTTTTGTGTTTCTTGTCCTTTACTTCAGTTAGTTTCCATCATTTTGATATTTAAGGATCTGACACAGCCCTGATTCTGGGCAGCAGCAGAAGCACTGGTGGTAAAAAGAGTGACTTCATTTAAAATTTCTGCATATTTGTAAAAGTGAATTGTGCAATTTGCCACTACTATGGATTTGAAAACTTTCTGCACTCAAAAAAGGAGCTACTTGTCCTATTTGATATATGCCTCTGTCTCATGAAAGTATAATCTAGCACAAAGATTGATTTTTTTTGTACATAATTTTTAGGAAATTCAAGTTGTGAGAAATTATGATAGCATGCTGCCTTTAAAATGTTTCACAAGTGAGAAGGATAGATATAAGTTTACTTTCCTGGCTCTATTTAAATTTGAGAGGGAAGGTGTGATGTGACTAACAATGTGGAATCAAGAGATCATGAGTCAACTAGGCTTAGTTTAACACTGCAGAAGGCTTACAACAAGGTAATTAGACCTAGGATAAGATGCCACAGTAATTAAGAAGGCTGGCTGGCTTTGACAGCTAAGGTACTTCCATGTAAAATAAGTATGCAAATATTTTATAGCAAGATACAAATTTTTGATAATATTGGCATTGCAGACAGGAGGAAAAATTGGGAGGGAAGGCCTACAGACGTGCATGGATAAATAAGCAACTCAGACAGGCCCTTTAGAATCAGCAGAGGATTTACAAGCAACAGAGAAAAGGACTCATCAGTAAGGAGAGAGATTTTTTTCTGTGATCGAAGAATGGAGGAATAAAGTGAGAATGGCCAAGGTTTAGATAAGTTACAGATTGAGAAGAATATTGGAACGCATAGCAAAACTTCATTGATCATACAAACAAAGAGAAACAGAAGGGAAGAACTGATGCTGTTGGGTTTTTTCAACTTATAAATGCTATTGTCCTTTGGAGGCCAAGAGGAGAAGGGCTTCCCTCCCTCTGAAGCATTGGAGACTGACCACAGCTAATGGTGGGATTTTGATTTAAGTGCCCTGGTGCTCTCACCAGTACTTAGAACTGAGAGGTTTTTGGCTAAAAGGCCTTCTTGCTTTTTTGTTCGGGGTCATACTGATGACCAGACTTGGGGCCAAAAACCAATTTTTACTTTAGAACAGACTGGCAAAACTAAACGTTTTTGCTTTGCTCTACAGCAGAGTGTGCCACAAACCCATCTGTGGGGTACCCCTGTAGTCCCAAGTCTGTCCCCACTATCCTGCTGCTTGCCCCAAGGAACAGTCCAAGGTTTGCCCTAGGATAACTCCAAGCCTCAGTTCTGCTGTCCTCGCGCTGCACCCCACAGCTGCAGCAAAAGAATCTCGCTGGTACCCCAGGTAGTTTCCCTTTGGGTTGTGAAAGAAATGTAGGCCCCCTTTCTACAGAATGTGCTAGCCTGGAGTATCACTTGCCTTCACATCATGCTTTACCACAGGCAAGGAGTGAAGTAACAAACAACAAAAGGATTTATTATATAGGAGAAATGGGTTGTACAAGAATAACTGACCATATAGTTTGAAGAGAAAACAAAATGACAAGTAAAGTTTCTCCTCCTCATCTGGCTACAACCTAATCCTTCAGAGTTCTGCCAGCATTTTCAGCGATCATCCTTCCCACTGATCCTGCCAGCCCCGACCACTGGGGACTTGAGACTCCCACAAAGCCTGGGATAATTCAAAGACCATGACTCTTTCATAGATTACCTCTAAATACCTCCAAGCCAGCCCTATCCCAATTGTGGACGAGTCTCAGAATCCTCTAGACATTTCTTTTCTTCCTGGAGCATCTGGATTTCCTCTACCTATTTCTCTGGGACTCTTTCACTCTTGTGGGGTTCATTTTCCCATTACAGGCAGGCAATCCCTTGGCTGCCCATCCCAACAATAGCCTCTTCTGCCCGTGTTTAGGACTGGCAGTTGTTTATGTCTTAGTAATACAATGGGAAGAGATGCATAGCAGTTTTGCCTCTGCCCTTTTCCTTATGTATGCATTCCTCAGTTTCTTTCACTAAACCACGAAATCATAAAAATACATATGGGCAGCATAACATAATCCACACAATGATAAAAGTGACAAATTAATACAGTATAACATTTTTTTTAATGAGATCCCACAAACCAGATCAGTAAAACAAAATTTAAAAAGCATGTACAACACTCCACAAACACTTCAAAATATTGTGAGGTTCCCGATACATAGGACTCCATCCTTTTCCTGCAAACCTCTGAGCATGTATCAACTGTCCAGCTTCCGTGAAGCTGTGGGCTGCATGTCACACGACCACAGAGCCAGGTTCCCCCCCACCACACATGTAGCCTTCCCCTCCCCTGCACCTAGGTGCTATGCTGGAGGACTCAGGGGGGACCTGGAGAGCCCAGCTGCCACTACTGTGACAGGAGAGCCAGGGGAGCAGGGGGCAGTGGGAGAAGGCAGCTGGGTGGGCTGTAGTTGGGCAGCCCTGTATTAACCAATGATATCTCTGCTACAGCAGTGTCAGGGCATTAATAGTAATCTTGCCTCCCCAGCTTTTACTTGTGGGATGCTATATGCCAGTGGAGATCACCATTTTTTGGCAAGCATGTCACAAATAAACTCCATACCTTCCCAAATGCTACTCCAACCCCCTTCTTCTGCATCATCTGCTGCTGTTTTCTGCTCCCAACCCAATTTGCTGCTCTGTTTTCTGCCTCCTCCCTTATCTGGCACTACGCTAGGTA